CCTCTCCCTTTGGACTTCACCTCCGCAGTGAGCGGAGGAGTCGGGCTCTGCACCGAGGCCACCTTCATCAGCGTGGACTGGTCACCCAGGCATCCCCACCTGCAAATGCACACGGAGATGTCCCTTTCCTCTTCTCCTCTGGGGGTGGGGGTGGGGGGGGCAGGGGAAGAGACCCTCTGCACCTGTATAACCCTCGCTTCATTGTGCCCCGGACCCAGTATGGGTTTGCTTGTCAGCTACCCTGAGGCTGTCATGGTTCCTTCCCTCCAGTGAACCAAACATGTCCAAATCTCTGATTCTCCACGTCTTCCCTCCACCCTGCCTCTCAGGAGACCATCCCCCAGCCCTCGTCTGCTCGTGTCTGCATCTAGACAGTCATCTTACCCCACTTGTCACAGCCACACCGCGCCCCATCGGCCGATTCTGGCTTCTGCTCCCCACTCTGCAGCTGGTCGCCACTGATGTCCAATCTTAAGACCCAGTGGTCCTCCCTGCCCATTTCCTGTTCACTTCTGGGCAAGAGAGGAGGAGGGTGGCCACGGTAACCTCCCGAGGGGGAGTGGTGCTCAGGCTCTGGCATTTCTTCAGAAACAGAGGGAGAGACCCTCGAGTTTCAGACATTTTTCATCTACCAAACTGCATATTTTTACTTAGATATTTAAAAAAGCAATCTCAAGCTCCGAGAGAAAATGTAGCATTGATGCCAAATCAGATCACTAACACTTGGTATCAACAGGAATACATTTGAATTTTAAAAGGCCAGCTACATCTGACAGCAATGTGTCTCAGCTACTTAAGTCTGAGTAGGAGTGGGGCAGGGGGGGGGGGGTCGTCAATGAATGTTAATGAAGACAGGGGGCAGGTGACAAGTAGGGTGACTGTCCCTATCATGTGATAGGTAGGAAGTCAGCACTTCAAAAGTTATATTTAGGCTGAGTCTTCAGGGGCAGGTAACTTCCAGTGAAGAAGAGTTTTGCACAGAGGCAGAGGGTATGGCTTGTGCAGGGCGGGGCGTTTGGAAGAGAACAGACATTTTGAGATGATGAGCCGGTGATTGAGTGCTGTTCCCTAGCCCACCTCTGGCCCTGCAACATGGACAGTGGCCAGGGCAGCAGCATATCTTAAAAGGAGTTTTTGTTAAGGGCTAAAGACTCACCCTGTGTATGAGGAACCGATTTCTTACATGCCTCCTTAAATCAAATGTGCTTTTGGATGGGCAAAGAAGATGCATCACAGCCAAGACCACCTTTCCCCAGGTTGTCAGCGTCAGCAGAGGTGGGGCCAAAGCCTCACAATGGGAAGCTAGGGTCCAGCAAGTCCCAGCATCTTCACTGGTAGCCATCTCTCCCAGGATGCACCTGTCCTATTTGTCAGCTGTCGGAAGACAGGTGTCACATCTTTTGTTGGAGAGTACCCAAAAGTTGCTAAAAAATATTGGTTAGGCACACTGGTAATGGGCCCAGCATCCTGGGCTTTTTAAAGAACAGTTTCCATCTCTCCTAGTTTCTGAAGGAACAATTCTAGAAATTCCTGACCTCGGTAGAGGTTGCCAGTTCATGTGTTCTTCCTGGGCACATGGGTAGACAGGACCACTTTCCAATGCTTTCATGAGTCTGGCCCATGAAGCAGTATGTGCTCCTTCCTAATAAGGCACTCGAGTGGGTAGACCACCTCCCAGTTCTGAGCAATGCCCCTGGGATCCCTTTGTTCAGTTGGTAGCATCTTTGGAAAGATGGGAGAGCTTGGGTCCCTGACTCACCAGAGGAAAGGGCACCGCCCACTGGGAATTTGTAAGAATTAAACCTCCAAGGTGGTGCTTTGTTGCAGCCCTACCATGACTGAGATATCAGTAAATTCGCTTCCTCTCCAGGAGACAGCCGGGAGTGCGGCTTAGATGCGAACTCAATAAAAACACTGCTCATTAACTCTGATGGAGGCCATGAGAAAACAGGTATGCTTTACACCAGACAGGCCCCATGTCGTGTTCTCCTTAGAAAAATACACGGAAGAAACTTTCCAACCTGCAGTTCCAGCAAAGGTGGTGTATCTCCTGAGCATTTCATAATGAAAGTTCCCGAGACTGTGATTCTTGATTTTTTTTTGCCTCGCCATCAGGAAGCTCAGAGCTAAACACAGCATCACTTTGCTACTCAGTCCTCATTTTCCCTTGGGTCCTGATTGATCTAACTTTGTTTTCTCTTTGTGTTTTATGTACTCTTGTAAGTAAAACTTTACTTTGTGAAGGGGATAAAGAAGACGAGGGTGAGCAGCACATTTTGAGAATGAGCTGGGAAGGAAGGATCCATGAGCCATTCCCGTGCTAACGCCCAAGGCCGGCAGTGCGGATCAGCCGAGCCTGACGATCGGTGCTGTGATTCTGATTTACTCTTCCTCTCGGCTCCTGACTATGAATTTTTCCTTTGCTTTATAACAGGGTAGCTCAGAGTAAGTTAATGATGATAATTACCGGTGCAGGATGCACAGTAAGATGGTTTGTGGCAGTGGTTGTAACTTGCAGTTACGTAGTTTAAAATAGCTGTGCTCATGGATTCAGGGTCCCCAGATGCCATTAATCCAAGTACTTCCTCCTTCCAAACCATCATACACCACTTTGATTCACATTTTTGATGGAAAACATTCCCTCCATAAATTCCCCCCGTTGGTGATAAATACCTGATGCACAAATATGAACATTTTAAAATCCCAGCTCACACCTCACCTGAATTATACCTTTGCTTTGCATACCTGTATAGATTCAGTGGCTTGAAACCTCTGGTGCCCGGGCACTGAAAGGCAATCCTGCATTATTTCTACATTTATCTGTAGCTATATCTATTATCAAGGACCTACAACAGATGCACAGACATATGTGAAAAAAATTCTTTATTAATTTCTCACATTTTATTACAAAATGTATGTTGCAAACAACTTGAATAACCTACTTGTGTGTTGTTTTTTTTTGTTTTGTTTTGTCTTGTTTTTTTTAAACCCTTGGCCTCAAGAAGTCAGGGTCTCCCTATCTTTTATCGAGTAGAGGGAAACACTGATTATTGGAGTCAATAGGTTATCATTTTGCTATTTATTTTCTTCTCTCAAGCTCTGAAAAAAAAATGTCCTCTGTATAAATTAAACAAAAAAAAAATGTAAATTCTATGTCATTACAGTCAACAGAATTATAATAATGCATCCAAAATGTGCGGCCACAAAATATCAGGTATATGTTTGAAAAAAGAAAAAAAAATGACATTCTAGCCTTGTTAAAAGGATAATGGTCCCATATTTTTATTAACAGGTTAGCAAAAACAAAATCCAATGGATTACAATATTTACATGTTATTTGAAAAATAAAGTAGTGATAAAAGCATGTCACAATTATTTTTTTTTTTTTTTTTTTTTTTCCTTTTTCTTTCTTTCCTCTTTTTCTTTTTTTGTTTTGTTCTTTTTTGGTAACCATTACAAACACCCAATCCAGGTATGGAACTGTTTAATACATTTGAAATGAGGCCAATTAAAAACAAATATAAACACAAAATGAATCTTTGTTTAGATAGTTCACACTTTCCCCATTTTCTGGTTTCCACATGATGGCCCTCATCCCTAAAAAAAAAAAAATTAAATTAAAATAAATGCCCTACAAATAAAAATTCTTAACAGCAAGAAAATAAAAGAAAAACATGCTTTTCAAGTAAGCACTTATTCCACAAATGCAATATCTTTCCATGGATTTTATTTGAAGCTATGTGGGACACTGTCATCTCAGCAATTCCCTTCCCTTCCTTCCCTCCCCCTCCCCCAACCCTTCCAAGTAAAAAAAAACAAAACATGAAAACCAAAGGACTCACACACACACCCACACACACCCACACATCCACCCACACACGCACACGAGAACACACACATCCAAGCACGCAAGCACACAGGCTTCTAAAACCTAGGCTTCAAGGAAAGTTCTTTTCTACTTTTTGGAACGCAAACTCTCTGTTCACAATCAGAACATATTATAAATGTAGACGTAGATTTAGTCTAAGCTGCTCCCTCCTGAAAAAGCTAAGTTGGGGAAACAGGGCAGCTGGCAGCTAGATTTAAACAAACAAACAAAAAGTAGTTCTCCAGGCTCCTTGTAGGACGTATTTCATGTCCATTCTCACCAAAGGGATGGGATCCCTTAACCCCCAAATTAAATGAGAACCCCCCAAAACACAATGCAAAACAAAAACAAAACACAGATTTCAAATCACACACAAAAGCCAGCCCATCCTAACAGAAAGTATTTGTGTGAGACGGATAATGTGTTCATTTGACAAGCAACGAAAGGGTGAAGAGGACTTCCTCATCTGGCCCACAAGCTGCATAGCTGTGCCGAAAAGTTTGGTTCTTTAGTTAAATTAAAAAAAAAAAAAAGTTAACTTCTTTGTTATTTCCATGTTTAAAATAAAAAAAACAAAACAAAAACATTCCTATTCACACAAAAACTAATCTCCCTTGCCCCAAATGAAAACAGTAACAACATACACACACACACACGAAAAACAATTGATATGAAAAACTGAATTGTGCTGTGTTTGTAACACTCAAACTGATAGAAAATGAACATGTGGCAAATGAAACTCCACAGTCACCTTAAAAATTAGCTCGCATGAATCTACCAAATTCTAAATTATAGTTGTACACTAATAAACAGCTTACCTGGAATAAAGGATGACATTTCACAAACAGTTATCTAATAATTAAAGTCTGTTTCTTTTTTTTGTTTTGTTTTTTACTAAAATAATTAAAAAAATCACAGTATTTTAAGAAATAAAACCCACGTGGGGATTTTAAGCACAATGTGTGTTCCTTTCTTTAAAACTCTGTTTTTTTTTTTTCTCCATTCACCATCTGGCCCAGCAGTTCTCTCTACATTTAACCACGGCGACGACAGGTAGTACTGACAAATGCAGAGAATTCCCTTGGTTAAGTTTGAGGTACTAGGAAACAGGTGACTGTTTTATGCAAAGCAGTTTTTTTGTTTTCTGTTTTTGTATTTTTGTTGTTTTTTTGTTTTGTTTCGTTTTTTTTGTTTGTTTTTTTTTCCCAAAGCGGCTGCAGTTAGGTCTTGAAAAAGCTTAAGGTATTAAAACTAGAAAAACGCGCTGAAAGTTGTGCGTCAAAAAAGTTGTTCCCCTAAGAAGTCTTCCACGGCCACGGAGCTTCTGTTCCCACAGACTGTCCGAGACCACCCCGGAGCACGCCGCGCCTGGGAGGTGCTTCTATTCCGCGACAAACGAGACTTCCACGATGAAGATCCGGAAGGAAAGACGTAGTGATGGAAAAGGAGCCACATATTCCAACCATTTAAATAACTTTAATTTATATACTCACTCACACAGGTACCAGTGCTTTGAAAATAGATTGTTCAGTCCTAAAAAGCAGCTTTGTTCTGTCTTCTCTTTTCTGTCCCCCACTTGTCAGCCCAAGCTGGCCCGCCCACTTTTCATCACGGTTCAAGTAAGGGGTGACTCAGAACTTCACCCAACGCTTATTCCTTTTTGGCCTCTGCATTCTCCAGGAGAGATCTGTCAGCAGCTACTACACAGATGGCTACTGTCTCGCTCTTTAGGGGAAAGTCTAGCCCGATTGCCTCGTCATCTTCCTTTTCCTCTATAGAGGGCATCTGGATACTGTCCTGCACACTCTCTTTTAGGTGGATTTCTTCTCTGCTCACTGACTTGGTGTCATTCAGCGCCCTGAAAAACATGGATGGAAGAGGCAGGTGAGTACATATTTTCTCCTAATTAAACGAAAAAAAAAAGTCTCACATCCTTATTTCCCTGGTCCTAAGAAGGCCTCGGGGTTTCCTCGGAACAGATGCCAAGAAGGTAGGACTGGACTGTGAGCGACTTATCCTTGGTACGTGCTGTGCTTTGGTCAAGTTTGTCTGGTATTTGAACCTACAAAAATACCCATTGTTGTACTATGTTTTGATCACATCATGTGCTGTTTCCGGATGAATGTAACTGTTTTATGTTCCCTCCTCTGCTGGGAACAGTGTGAAGTTGTAAGTGGTAACAGCAAGCACTGCCTTATGCTCACACTCATCACGGGAGCCGGACTGGGAGAGTGGCTATGTTTATGAAGAGCAGCCTAGGTACTGAAGGTTTAATGGACAAGTCCTGAAACAAATCATAGACGTGAACAGAAGGCAAAAACCCGAGGATGCGCTGGGAAGCTAACTTAGAGTCTCTGAAGTTCAGATGCTTCAGGTTTCAGGGGCATTTTCTGCTAACAGGACCGAGGTTCCGTGCCTGGTGGACTGTGAGTGTCGCGTGCAGAGGACAGTTTCAGTTCAAGGGTCTTACAGGTGGTTTACAGGTATGCTCCCACCTACCTGGGAGGCAGGCAGAAGCTGGCTCTGTCCCCGACCGAGGCAGAGCACTGGGGCACCAAGAGGTGCGTGGGAATGTTCAAGGCCACTCAGGGAGTGAGTCATCAGAGGCAGGAACAGAAGCCAGATCTTTGACCCCGGTCCGCGCTCTATCAGAGAATGTCACGCTAATGAACGCTGAAGGGACACTGGCCGGAGAAAGCGCAAAACTCGTACGCGAGGGTTTGAGCGGGATTCGTCATTCGTATCGAAGATGGTTTTTCATGTGACTGGTGTCTGGGGGACCGTTTTAAAAACAAACAGAAAAGGAGAAACCTAGCTCCTGACTCTGTCTCTCCGCCCATGCCCGGAAATGTGACAGAGGGGTCTGGGTATCAGCAGGGGAACCAAAACACAACACAAACAAACAAAAAGAACCTGGCCTCCCTACCACCTCACACTCTGGCAAAGGCGTTCCGGGAGGGCTCCACTTACATGCCGTGTCTCAGCACGTGCCTTTCCCACTCAGAGCCCTGCGCAAACGCCCGTCCACAGAATTCACATGGAAAGCGCTTCTGAGTGTTAATGGCAGCCCCGCGGTCTGCAAATCCCATCAGATCTGGAAGGAGAAAGCGGAATCAGTGTTACCTGCGAGCTGTCAGGAGGTGGGAGACTTACGCAACACTTACAAGGAAACCTGCCCACCTTCCTTCCTTCCTTCCCCGGAGAAACCACTCTCTCTGCTCTTTGTCCTAGCGGCTTTGCACCTGGGGTGCTCCCGGAATGGCCTTCGACCACTGGTCCTGGTCCCCGGCCCCGGCGTGCCCATGCCTCACCTCTGCAGCTGCTTCTATCACCGACCACCTGCGTCATTCCAACAGCATTTTCTTCTGCCGAATCTCGCCCTCTGTGATGGTCTATCAGTGCCTCACCGTTTAGCACCTATTCATTTTCTATTTGACACAAGTTTGACTTTGCTCGATACAAAAAGAATACAGGTTCCCGAAAGCACTGGACCAGGTTACCCGCAGACCTCACAGTTTCAAGCCCTCCCGGGGAGAATTCCTGCCTGACTCACGACTTTCGGTCACCTGTCAGGGATGTCATAATCAACACCTCCGAGGGTGCTCCGAGCACTGAATGGGAAGGACAAGCAAGGAACCTTGCATGAGCGCGAATGCTGGACCACGGGAGGCCAGCATAAAAGAAAGCATGTCCTTGGCTGAGGAGGGAGCCTGGCCAGCTGCCCGGCATCTACTCCTCAGCCGGTGAAATCCAGGAATGTGGGGACATACAGACATTTTGGGTCAGGTGTGCTGTAGACATCAGACATTCACTGCCGTCGTCTTTGTGTCCTCCATGGTGCTGGGCACATGTTAGAGGTCCCATAAACGGGTTGGGTGGCTAATTGTTTACAGACCACTCCTCCTGGCACACTCAAAGATGGGCGTTTCTATGGCCTTTGTGGGATCCTGAGTCCCAAGCCCATATGTCTTCCATTATACCACAGCGGGTCATTTCCCGTGGGTCATAACCGCAGGACCCAGACTGTTCTGCAGCCACGCCGCAGAGAGAGGGCAGCAGACAGGGCAAGGCTGGCCATCCCCACAGACTGGCTCCCTCGCCACCTGCACGTACAAGACGCTACCCAAGATGCCTCCTGGTTTAAATATGCCAGCTAATAAAACCCGCAGGATGACGCTCACAGGATAGGTATCTCCGTGCTGCCTTAATCTTCAGCACAAAAAGCTACGTGAATGGGGCCAGTTTTAACAAAAGATGAAACATTTTCTCACAAATTAAGAAGATCACCACAGCAGCCATTAAAAATAATTGCACAGACTATCTTCCTTGATTCTTTTCATTGGAAATGAGACAGCACCATCTGCTCCACGCATTAATTTCTTAGCGGGGATTATCTTGGGCAAGAAATCAACAGAATGCCTTCCTGACTCCTCCCAACCGCATAATGAGAGGGGGTGGGGAGGGGCCTGCCGGGGTAATTTTGATTTCTTCATGCCTGGTTTCTTCCCTTTCAAATCCCCTCCGAGCTTTGTAGGCAGCACCTGCAGTGTGGCCAGCCGGGCCTCTCTACAGTTCTGGTGTCGGGAAAGGACGCCGGGAACGGGGTAACTACGAGGAGGTGAGCCCCCTGAACCGAGCGCCAACGAGGGGCATGCTCCTGGCACATGTGCGCCTGTACCCTCAGGAAACATGAAACCACTCATCTGTTCTTTCCAATGGCTCCTGCTGTTTCAGCCTCCGAGGAGGCGGCCAATCATTACCTGTCACACATCAAATAGCTCTCCATCGGGGAGCTGCCGAAGCACCTCCCACTCTCTGGGCTAGAAGACAGGCAGCCTGGCAAAAACACCCCCGGGCTATTGTGGCGGTTCTTCCTGCTGGCAGGGATCTACCTAGAGGGTGAAAAGCGGGTCCAGAGGAGGCGAGACAAAGGGGCTGTGCTTTCGAGGGCCAGGAGGAGACGGGAAGGTGTAGGCTTGTGATTTCCGTTAGCATTACTAGAAGTTCCTCCCGTAGATCCCCGACCCACTGAGAAAGACAAGCTTCTCCACCCCAATTCTTGTCCCTCCCCGAGGTTCAGGCCCACGCCTGTGAGGCTCCCTCCAGTGAGAGGCGCTCCGATCCGATGAAGGGGCGGCCGGCCGGGCAAGCAGAGGAGCTTCTGCCTGGTGCCCCACATCTGACGCCGCCTTTTCTGTGCTTTTACTTTGGAACAGTCACAGGGGAGGTCTCAAAGGGGTTCTTGCCTCTGCAATGCATATCACCACTAAAATCACATGTGCGCAGCTTTGAAGACTCAGAAGTCGAGGCTCCGGTGAGGAGTCCTGGACTTCGGCAGAGGCGGCAGGGCACAGAGCACAGGAAGCAGGAGGAGCCTCTTCTCTGCCAGAGGGACCCCTTTCCAGAGAACTCGGGGGCGGGGCAAGATGCTAAGGAATTCATCCAAGGACATACTGGAGGAGTAGTGAAAAAGGGGAAGGGAAACCATGCGTCTCAGACCACAGCCACTGACCATGGAGGAAGTGGATGAGCATGGCCCCTACTAATAAATGCTAATCAACCTCCATGGTGAAGGCGTTTCCTCTGTCCACTGATTGTTCAGGTTACCACGGGCAGGCTGGCAGTCCCTGCTGTTGTCTTAGCTGGGGGTTCAGGGGCCAGAGTGGACCCCCACTTGGCAAACCTGTGGTCACCTGCCACTGTGTCATGGTGGGGGTGGGAGAAGGTCAGGAAGAAAACAGGGAGAATCTCCGAGGGAGATGGCCACCAAATACTCCTCAGGCTGCACACTGACCAAGGAGGAAAAACAATGACATTTTGTAAAAATGTACTGTAAGGCCACAGAATTGACAGAATTCAGGGTCAAATTCCCTTCAAGGAACATGTCACTGTCCAAAGGGTTGTGGTGTAAGAGGGTTGTGGCGTAAGGGGGCTGAGGCGTAAGGGGGCTGTGGCGTAAGGGGGCTGTGGCGTAAGGGGGCTGAGGCGTAAGGGGGCTGTGGTAAAGGGTTGTGGCGTAAGAGGGCTGTGGCGTAAGAGGGTTGTGGCGTAAGGGGGCTGTGGCGTAAAGGGCTGTGGCGTAAGGGGGCTGTGGCGTAAGGGGGCTGTGGTAAAGGGTTGTGGCGTAAGAGGGCTGTGGCGTAAGAGGGTTGTGGCGTAAGGGGGCTGTGGCGTAAGAGGGCTGTGGCGTAAGAGGGCTGTGGCGTAAGGGGGCTGTGGCGTAAGGGGGATGAGGCGTAAGGGGGCTGAGGCGTAAGGGGGCTGTGGTAAAGGGTTGTGGCGTAAGAGGGCTGTGGCGTAAGAGGGTTGTGGCGTAAGAGGGTTGTGGCGTAAGGGGGCTGTGGCGTAAGGGGGCTGAGGCGTAAGGGGGCTGTGGCGTAAGGGGGCTGAGGCGTAAGGGGGCTGTGGCGTAAGGGGGCTGTGGTAAAGGGCTGTGGCGTAAGGGGGCTGTGGCGTAAGGGGGCTGTGGCGTAAGGGGGCTGTGGCGTAAGAGGGCTGTGGCGTAAGGGGGCTGTGGCGTAAGGGGGCTGTGGCGTAAGGGGGTTGTGGTAAAGGGGTTGTGGTGTAAGAGGGTTGTGGTGTAAGAGGGTTGTGGTGTAAGGGGGTTGTGGTGTAAGGGGGTTGTGGTAAAGGGCTGTGGCGTAAGGGGGTTGTGGTAAAGGGGTTGTGGTGTAAGGGGGCTGTGGCGTAAGGGGGCTGTGGCGTAAGGGGGCTGTGGCGTAAGGGGCTGGGCGTAAGGGGGCTGTGGCGTAAGGGGCTGTGGCGTAAGGGGGCTGTGGCGTAAGGGGGTTGTGGTAAAGGGGTTGTGGCGTAAGAGGGTTGTGGTGTAAGGGGGCTGTGGCGTAAGGGGGCTGTGGTGTAAGGGGGTGTGGTGTAAGAGGGTTGTGGCGTAAGGGGGCTGTGGCGTAAGAGGGCTGTGGCGTAAGGGGGCTGAGGCGTAAGGGGGCTGAGGCGTAAGGGGGCTGAGGCGTAAGGGGGCTGAGGCGTAAGGGGGCTGAGGCGTAAGGGGGCTGTGGCGTAAGGGGGCTGAGGCGTAAGGGGGCTGAGGCGTAAGGGGGCTGTGGTAAAGGGTTGTGGCGTAAGAGGGCTGTGGCGTAAGGGGGCTGTGGCGTAAGGGGGCTGAGGCGTAAGGGGGCTGTGGCGTAAGGGGGCTGTGGTAAAGGGCTGAGGCGTAAGGGGGCTGTGGCGTAAGAGGGCTGAGGCGTAAGGGGGCTGTGGTGTAAGGGGGTTGTGGTGTAAGGGGGCTGTGGTGTAAGGGGGCTGTGGAGTAAGGGGGCTGTGGTGTAAGGGGGCTGTGGAGTAAGGGGGCTGTGGAGTAAGGGGGTTGTGGAGTAAGAGGGTTGTGGTGTAAGGGGGTTGTGGAGTAAAGGGCTGTGGTGTAAGGGGGCTGTGGGTAAGGGGGTGTGTGGTAAGGGGGCGTAGGGGGCTGTGGAGTAAGGGGGCTGAGGCGTAAGGGGGCTGTGGTGTAAGGGGGTTGTGGTAAAGGGCTGTGGTGTAAGAGGGTTGTGGTAAAGGGCTGTGGTGTAAGGGGGTTGTGGTGTAAGGGGGTTGTGGTAAAGGGGTTGTGGTGTAAGAGGGTTGTGGTGTAAGAGGGCTGTGGTGTAAGAGGGCTGTGGTGTAAGGGGGTTGTGGTGTAAGGGGGTTGTGGTAAAGGGGCTGTGGTGTAAGAGGGCTGTGGTGTAAAAGGGCTGTGGTGTAAGGGGGCTGTGGTGTAAGGGGGCTGTGGTGTAAGGGGGCTGTGGTGTAAGTGGTTGTGGTGTAAGGGGGTTGTTGTGTAAGGGGGCTGTGGTGTAAAAGGGATCTTGCTTTGGAGCCAGAAGACTAAAGTCACCCTATAGTGTTTGTTTTGAACTTTGAATGAGTTCCTAAATTTTCTGGGCCTTTATTTCCCCATTTGTAAAACAACAATACCACCTTACATTGCAGAATTTTCATTTATTAGGTGTTTATAAATGATCATTTACTACTATGTTTCAGGATCTTGTTTATGTCTTCTGTGATATCTCATTCAAACTTTACACCACCCTAGGAGGTAGGTGATAATATTATTGATGAATGCAGGAGTTAAAATAATTTACCCAATTTCATATAGCCAGTAGCAGAACTGAGAGTCAAATCTAGGAAAGCCAGCTGCAGACCCCTCTCCATGGCATGAGATTGAAGAAAAGGTTTCCCGGGAACCAACAGGGCCTGACACACGACGGCGCTCAACAACGGCAGCTAGCGCCATCCCGCTCATCACTGCGGCACCTACAGCGCTTATTCCTCGTGCTTACATCCTCCGTGTGCTTTTGCTCAGTCCGCAGTGACCCAGTAACTTACTTCAACCCGCGTGCTCACAGGCACCACCTTGGGGTTTCCACAGTATCCTTTGTTGAACAGCTAGAGAACCAACTTCAGATCAGATAGATGGGTGTCTAGAACTACATACGCTTTTGTAAAACTTCATTTTGAAGATAATTATAGACTAAGAAGAAGTAGGAAAAACAGCATAAACATTCCATGAGACCTTGCCTTGTGTCCCCTGTAAACACACGACCCAGTGAAAGCTATTGGTTTAGTCAAAACCAGCAACAAGGTTTGGGGAGGGCCACGCCGAGGACACGGGCTCAGGATTCGTCCCGGCAGCCCCCACAGCCCCAGCGTACATAAGCGTTCCTCGGGGGTCCGTTTACATTCCCTGATGGCTCTGTAGTGTCTGCCAGTCCTTATTCTCTTCCAAAGACACCCGTTTTCTCGATGCACAACAAATCACTATATATTTTTAATAAACAAACTATAGCGAGAGAGAAAAAGGCCTGTTTTCCTTGGAGTTTCTAAAGCTGGTAACAATTTACAAGCCATGGCCCCTAACATGCTTCTTGAGTCCGTCTGTTCTGCTACTTAACTAAGAAGGATTGCGCCTTCCTTCTGTGATTCCCACAACAACCTCCGCCTCCCTGTCTCCCCGCGGACGTGCTGGCTGCCATCTGGGACGCGGAGGGCAGGGAGGAGACTAACCTCTGTCATCAGCCTTGCTGCTCATCTCGTCCTCCTTGTCCTCGTCCTCGCTGCTGCAGCTCTCCAGCTTGTCCTTCATCTGCTCCAGCTGATCCAAGTTCACCCGCCCGACCAGCTCAAAGTTCCGGCTCACCTGAAAGAGGCCCAAACACACGCTGGGAGGACGAACCACGGACCGCAGGGGGCTCACCCCGGGGCACAGACCTCTTCAGTGTCATTTTTCTGTGACTGTTTTGGAGCCAGGACGGACCACCACCAGTGCCCAAGCACACTGGGCCTTCCTTACCGAACTTCCCCAGGAATGCGAGCTACCATCAGCCAGAAAGCAAAAGTGTCACAGAGCTGGGGGAATAGAGGAGTGCCCAGTAAGCAGGTTTTGAGTTGAATTCAAAGAAGTAACTTGTGTGAGCTACCCATGTTTCAGATACTCCTGGAGGGGAAGAGGCTCTAAGTATCCTGAAAACCTCCCACTGAGATGCCACCGGTGGGGCGGGGGTTGCCCCGGCGCGGACCAGCGCCAACTACTCGCCTCCGAATCCAGGGCCAGCGGCAGCCGGTGTTGTTACCGCTGCGTCTCCACTGGGTTTGGAGCGGGCCACAGCCTGCTTATCAAGGTTGGGATTATCCGAGGAAAGTCTAGCTGAACAAACCCTAAGAAACCCTTTGAAAGTGTTCACTAGGGCTGATTTTGGTTTATGTAAAATGCGGATAGAATAATGTGGAAATCCAAACTTTCCTCAAAACGTCATCCCAGGGAGATAAACCGCATTAGAAAACTCTGTGATGATGTTCTGTTTGGGGTTCTCCTATCAACAGCGGCAGAGTTCACCTTCTTCCTGAATCTACTTTCAGAACCTCTTCAAGGCATGCATAGGATGAACAGGAAAGACAGGTGAGCCCAGGACAAGTCGGCAAAATGACTCCAGCCAACACACAGCGATGAGCTACCCTCCACTGCAGGTGCTGCAACCCCCCACTGGAGGGAGGGGGTGGGGCCCACAAAGGGACTGTGACCCGGTCTGGCCTCCAGAGGCCCACAGTGTAGTTGGGCAGGGAAGGCAGACACCAGTTGGATTCCAAGGCGGGTTTCCAGAGTGGAATAAGGAAACAGGAGAGGAGAGGGAGAAGTTACAAGACAGTTCCAACATTCTCTGGGACAGACTGGAACAAAGATGTGCTGAGCACCACCAAGTCCATGTGCCTGGCAGCTGGGAACAGCACCACCAACTGTGACGATGTGAGAGAGACACGGAGCACCAGGGCCAACACCGTCCTCCGAAAAGGCTTCCTGTCATCCCAGCCACATTACGGAAGAGGGAGCATTTAAAAAGAGGAAGAGCCCTGGCCGGTTTGGCTCAGCGGTCGAGTGTCGGCCTGTGGTCCAGAGAGACCCAGGTTCGGTTCCCCTTAGGGGTGCGTACCTCGTTTGCAGTTTGTCCCGGCCCTGGTTGGTTGTGCGGGTGGCAGCCACTCGATGTGTCCCTTTCACGTCAATGTTTCTCTCTCTTTCTCTCTCTCTCCCCCTCCCACTCTACCTAAACAAAAAATAGAAAATGTCCTCAGGTGAGGATAAAATAAATAAATAAAAAATAAAAAGAGGAAGAACACCCAGGGTAAAAGCTCTCTGGAAGCCAGAGAAGCAACACATCGACCTAACTGTAACAACGGAGTCCAGGAATGCAGTTACTTTTGTTGGTTTCCCACAGTGCAACCCGAGGGTGGACCTGACGTCTGGGTGGAACTCAGCGCCAAACACTAGGGGATGGCAAGTTCTCTTGCTTGTTAGAAAAAGTTGCAAAAGTTCATAAAGTGAGGAGGAGGAAGTCAGGTCAGAATCTTTCCCCTTCTTTCCTCCCCTCTGAGAGTTGACAGCAAGTCTCCAACGTGCTTTAGCTTGTAGCCCCCTCCTAGCCAGGGATTCACCCACAAGGCTCAGTCCCACAGACCTATAAGAACTTCTCCTAATTCACGTTCATAACGTTGAATAAGTGGGGTGGAGGCACAATGGGCAAGAGCTTTGAAGTCAGACAGACCAAAGTTCAAGTTTGGGGTTTGCCATTACTCAGACCCTGGGAAGTTATTCAACATAAATGTCCTCATTTCTAAAAGTGGGGGTCAGCACAGTGCCTGCAACACAATAGTTTCCCCAAATGCCATTTCCGTCCCCCTTCTGGGAACGTGGCCTTTTCCATTTCTGGCTTTTGGAAAGGCGTATGATAAGCACTGTAAATGCATATTTATGAAGTTATGTTTAGCCACAAAGTCTATATTTTAACCAAATAGCATTTATAACAAATATTTGAAGAAAAGTTTTCTGGGTTGCCCGTTTTTAAGGAAAAGGGAGGATTCCAATCTGCCTAACTTTGAAATACGTATGAAGAAACACCTTTTCGATGACCAGTACCTGCAAGGCAGCCTCTCTGGCCCCCTTCAGCCAGGGCACCTGGAGGTGTGTAGAAGGGGCATGAGACGTGGACCGACGCCAGGAAGCAAAAATAACGAAAGCAGGAATGGCCAAAAGGGAATCCCCACATTGTTTAATCCAGTGAGTTTCCGCTGAGTCGCTCACTCAGCCCACAAGGGCCTCCTGAGGGCCTGTGTGTGCCAGGCCCTGTACCAGGCTGCAGCGCCGGCTTCTCGGGGAGCTCCCGGGGAGAGAAGGCCTGGCACCAAACTAAACGCTTTTCCCTTCCCCTTCCCTGGACACTCTTAACATGTCTGGATTCTGCACAATTTTGAGAGTACAAGACATTGTCATGGTCCGACAGTCATCTGAGGTTGACCCAGGATTCCATTGTCCTGAAGATTTCTAAAAGGTTTGCTATGCAATTAAAAGATTTATAAGGAAAAACTAACATTTTTGCCATGTAATTAGAAGATTTTCAAAGGAGAACTCTTCGTCGTGTTGGGTTCTTCCTCTACTTTCAATCCCCAGATCAACAATCCAATATTAATCTTAATACAACAGGCTCCTTGCTGCATCTCTGGGCCCGGTCTCTGCCCTGGATCACTGCCATGTCTCCTCCCTCCCTCCTTGCTGGTTTCCAGCGCCGTCTGAGTGATCTTTAAAGAATTTAAATCTGTGCGTGGCAGTCTCTGCTTGCCCTGAGGATAAAATCCTCATTTCTTACTGAGATCTGCGGGGCTGGTGATCATCAGATCCCGGCCCCCCTTCTCCAGGCTGACACCCCTTGGCCCCCACCGCCCTGCCCTTACTGAGCCTCCTGGCACCTGACAGGCTCCTGGCTGTGCCTCGCCCTGTGCACGTGTCTCCTGTCTGGAATCTTCTCCAGCCTGCCTCCTTCGTGCGGCGACTTCTGTCTTCCAGCCGCGCTCCAAAGTCACAGGGGGCCCTCTCTAAACTCCTCCTTGATTAAATGTCCTTGCTCAGTGCTTCTACATCACCCTAAGCTCCCCTTTCGTGATTCACCCCACTCAGGGCTGTTTATGGCCGGGGCCCCCCACCCCAGCCCCGCCCCAACTGCAGACTCCAGGAGGCACCTCTGCACCGACTGGGCGGCAGCACGGTGTCCAGGTCAGGCGGGGGGTGCTTTCACCTCCTGGCTACTGGATGTCTGTGTTTTAACTTAATATATTTTTCTTTCCTATAAACACTCACATGGAAAGTAGAAAGAAAACTCACTTAAAATCCAACTACTTATACATCATAATAACTGTTAACAAGTTATTGTATTTCTGCACGCCTGTTTTCTATGCATAGATTACTTACATCGCTGCGATGTTATTAAGACAGAGGCGAGCGTACCCCGGTTTTCACGCCTGGCACGGCATCAATGCTCTGTGTCAGTGGCATTTTAAATCACTATATAATGTTTCATTAAGGGATACGTTATAGCTTACCGCTCCCATGTGAGCGTACCTTTGGCTAGTTCTGGCTTTGCGCTGTTATAAATGCAGTAATACACCTTATTGTACGTAATCCTTTCCCCGGGTTCCATTTTACAGGCTCCCCTGCAGATGTGACATGACAGGGTGACGATCAAAGAGTTGGGCTTTTATTTACTGAATCTCTAATGTATTTCTAAGTTGGCTACTGGAATGATCATACAAGTCACTTTCTGGACCTAGAGACTGGTGAGTATCTGACCAACTTTTTAATGGTACAGAGGACAAACTGAGGGAAAGTCACTTTTTACTCTGGATATGAGAAGTAATTACCATTTCCCCAGAAGGCCCACAACAGGAGAAGAAATGAGCAAAAGAAAGTTTTAAGATTTAGAACCTGGCTCCTTGAAGCCTTTTGAAGGCAAAAGAAGACACATGGCTTTGAAGGGCGGATTGTTCCAGTCCACAATCACTCAAACTGTAAAACTACGTGCAGGGCCTGGCCAGTGTGACTCAGCTGGTGGAAACGTCACCCCACACAGGGAAAGGTGGTGGGTTCAAATCCCGGTCAGGGCTCATAGTCAGGTTGTGGGTCTGATCCCCAGCTGAGGCACATACAGGAGGCAACCAACCAACCGATGTTTCTCTCTCACATTGATGTCTCTTTCTATCAATGAAAGGTATATATTCGGGTGAGGATTAAAAAAAAAAATGATATGCAGATCCTTTAATCCTGTGAAAGTTGTGAATGCCCCAAACCCTAAAGGCGCCTGTGAATGCCACTAACCCAGAGTCATGGTGAAGTCTGCTGTCCAACAGGATGTCAGATAAAGTGCCATTGACCAGCAAATGCTTTACCCTTCAAGTTAACCTTGAAGCGATGACCCTGCCAACTCCTCCATGCTCATGCTGATGTTCACGCTTCACAACTGCACCTGTGTCTCTGTGTGTTGGCTCTAACCGTCCAGCAGACTGTTTGGCCGCATCCCTAGCAGAGGAAAGAGTTTCTATGCTGGAGGCTTACATCCAAGGGAGAAGCAGCAGGTGGTTTACAAACACTTGCAAGTAAAACATTTTCATACTGTCCTCGGTTGGCAAGCCCAGTCTTACAGAAACACTGACAAAAACTTGCCTGTTAATGAAAAAACGCAACTGGACACACGTCTTCAGATGACCTAGCAGACATGACGTGGGGGACATGGGGTGAGGAAACACCCACCTAACACTCCAGAGTTTCCCTCCTACCGACGTGACCTCTGTACCTGCAGCAGGGGACACCCAGTCAGG